TTCCTTTCAATACATATTTCCCACACACAATTTGTACTTTTTTTGCTATATCTTTTAATACCAGTTATGGAATCTTCTTGAAAATACAGTTATCTACAGAAAGGGATTAGAAATGAGACGTTAACTTTGGAAAAAGAGGAGAATATCAATACTTCCCAGCATTTTAATTAGTATTATACAACAATTCCGCAGTTAAATAAACTAGGCAGACTCCGACATAACACTGATATTAAACTTCAACATTTTAAAATCATATTTTGGATAAACTGCATGCATTGAACTATGTTTTGGAAGAATTTGGATCTCATTTGATTGAGAATTAAAAACAGCATTATTATTATTTTTTTCTCGTTTTGCAATCACACATCATAAAGTATTTGGTAACTATTACCTTTGTCTGTGGCTTTTAGATCCTCTAAGCCTTTCAAATCTTTTCGTCTTTGTCTTAAATGTACATAGATAACAAAGACAGTATCTTCTCAAATGTAAATCTGTATTTTTAAATAAATAATATACGATAAGATCGTCCAACCTTTTAGTGAAACTGCGAGGTAAACCAGTACTTTTAAGAAGAAGCAAGAAGAAACACAACGTACAAGATGACTGGGAACTGAGCGATGGAACAGCCTCGATAGCGGACGTGTACCGTCTCTTCGCCTTACTTAGTAGTTCAGACTTGATAAAATGTCATTTACTACTATATTTGGATTTAGACGTAAACCTTGTGTGTACAGGAACACAGAAAGAAACTCGTTGTGATTATGTTTTAACGTTTTTGGTACAAACTGTACACCATCTTGCAAACTGTACACAAATGTCTGGTTTAGGTCACATCATGTTACCGGTTGTTTAGAGAATGTTTAAAAAGACACCAAACGCTAAAAAACTCTTCAATTAAGTTTTCTTTAGTATAATTACATACACTATAAAATCTGGAAGTAAAAGCAGCACCGAGTAAGTTAATCCACACATGAATGTCACATTTACTGACGAAAAACAAAGTTGCAAGCAATTCTCGAAGTAAAAGTGGGGCTCTGTCAAAGGTGGATAATTAAATCGCATTAAAACTTTACTATCCTGACTTAAATTCCCGACCTAGAAATCGTTACAGGATTTCTACAGGATTAAACACTTCTGTACAAAGAATTCTGATTGACTAATTTGTCCGCAACATGTCTAAAATACCCTTCACAAGATACCTTGAACAAACAAAGAAATCAAAGCCACCATTTTGAGCAGACGTCGTTGCCTCGACTAATCTGAGGCGAACTTAAAAACGCAAATCTCGTTTTCTTTTTAAATGATTCCAATGCAAAAACATCAATTTTCTTTTGTTTTATGCTTATTTTGAACGATTATGCGTATATTGATATTTCTTTGTGTCGGAATAGCGTGTGTTCATCATGAATTACTATCTATTATATAGGAGGAGCAGCAAGATGGCAGAAGTCAACTGCTAGGCGAAACGCCACCTCGTACGTTAACTCCACAGGTTGTATCAGTGAGATATTCCAAAGAAAAATTCATGATATAACTTGATATGTTGATCATAGCTTACAGTAGTAGGAATAATCCGTGCACTTTTTGAAAGCCAAGCAACGCTTCTTGATAAAAAATAATGAATAAGAAGTACAGTTTACGACTCACCAATATATAGATTATCTTGGAGATTTCGCTGAAATGCCAAAGAACTGTTCTGGGCTCGCGATAGTCAGAGAAAGTCGCCCTTTTAAAATAAGGGTAAACACAGAAGCAGCGCTCACAATATGTACAGTCGAGAGATGCTCTTCTCTGACATTGAACAGGTTTTCCTGTCACTCATATCGGTTAAGTACCAACATGCTTATAGGTACTACTAAAGCTGTGATGTCAGGATATCTCTTCAACTAGCATGAAAAAATGTAAAATTAAAATAATGACGTTATTTTTGAGAGGGTAGAACGTAACAGTCTGAGCGTTACTGATGACCCTGTAGACCACAACAAATATGACAAATCTTCATCCACGATCTGTTGCATGCGATCGCACACCACCAACAACCACGATAATATCAACCAACTTTGTAAACATAGCAATTATCAGATCAGTTATTTTAATTGAGGAAAATTGCTTTCTCTACTCTTATAKAGAATCAGGGAATATCGTTTGCATCCCAAAAGAAAATTCCAAAAAACACAWTTCGAGCAATTAATTGGTGCCTAATAATATCTCTTATAAGCCTCTGATAATATTCCTTGTAAGGGTTTCGTGATACTTTGGTGAAATCACAAACCAAGATAAAACTGTTTTAAGTAAATTATATCATTACTTCTCGCAGAGGGGAGCAATAATAGTCCATCCTGAGCCATTTTGCTAGATGTTAGATGATAATCTGGAGTTTGCCTTCGCTAGAGTAAATATTTGAAGGTAAATACGACAGCTCTCAGAGTAGAATAGTTTAAACTGTTTGGTAAACGATCCTGGTTATTTGTTCTACATTTCAATCATTTGCAAATTTTTGTAATTAAATCCAAAAAATAATGGCAAAAATAGTTAAAGAATATATATTAAAATATGAAAAAGGAATTCGCTAATTAAAAACAGAAACAAACAATCAAGACGACACGATTCCTTTGGCAAGTGTTTTTAAAAGCTCATAGTTGCTAATAATGTTTCTCCCTATGAAACTATTGAACAGAAAAAAATATGAAAATTATGCTGAAAATTATATTAAATTCCAAATTGAATTTTGAGACTTTAATTATTATTTTTTTAATTCCGTTTTCATGATTTTTGTTGAAAGTTTATGTAAAAGTTTCAGCAGAAATGAGTGGAAAATGGATGAATGCTAAAATTCAAAGCGAAAATATCCATAAAATACAAATCTAGTTACTTGTCGTGCGTAGTGGTGTGAGAAAGGTTCGTTTGCATACGGCGAGAAGTGAAACCTGCAGAGAGAAAAACAATCGTGGACAATGCGAAGAATGAAAAATGACGTCTTCCTATCTTTAACTCATAAATGATACTATGCTCACAATTTTGRCCTGTTTGAAAACCAAGAAAATGATGTACAACAAACATACCGCAGTGAAAGATTGACGACATGTTAACCTGCGAGTGTCTTTATTTAACGACAATTTCTTAGAAAGTATCATTTGTTTTGACAGTTTTTACCAATAAGGTGTTTCGTGTGACTCGATGGAAATGAGTCACCCCCAAGCTGGATGCAGCATCGCTAAAACCAGCATGGTATCGTCCGTTTCCTGTTATATCCAAGGCTGTTTTAAGCAGGTACGCAGTGTAAAACGATTGTGATTCGTCTCCTCAGAGAAGTGTAGTCTGCTAAATAGAATGTGCTTCAACATCGCGAGAAAATCAAGCCGCCTCATGTTCAACAAACAATGCTTCCATGAAACATAAGCTCCCTTCATATCGACTAACTTGCGTACTTTGTTTTAATAATCATTAGCATTTGTTACGTACTATTAAGATTTCTTTGTGGCGCCGTGCGGGGATTCTTTGTGTTGGTTATTTTGGCTTCTATGTGAGGGGTTTATTTGCGGGCAACGATTCCCGCCGTGGCAATCAATGCTATGAATCGTTTTGGAACAAATTACATGGATAACTGTCACGATTTGCAGCTACTAAACACTTTAACTCATAAATGACTTCTGTTGAATTGATCAACATTGTTAAATACGGCTGAATAGCGGTACATTCGACCCGCAAACAATGTACGAGGATCATCGACTGTGCCGTGTATGCAATAGTTAGTGAAATCAACGCGTTTTACGAAGATATCTAAATAATTAGCTGCTGTTCGTAAGGCAACAATACCCTCGAGAATTAACTCGGGCTTTAAGGAATCGCTTTAATAATCGAGTTATTCAAACATACGATGTATTAAGTGAGCAGCAGATAACGGCTGTACGGATTTTTTTAAAGTTTTTTTTTAAATCAATTAAAATTAAAATCAAAGAGGAAAAGTATCGCTGTGATAATCTTGCTCATAAGAATAAAAAGTAGAACTTGAACAACGAGAATTTCTCAATTAGTGAAATCGTTTCTTGGCTATCTCCATGGAGAGTGCGGAAATTGTTCGTCTTGCTCGCGGTACAAAGTCGTATTCAATGAAGCTAGTGTTTACTTGTTCTCTGGACCCGAGTAAACGTCATTTTACTTTAACTACATCAATTTAAATATCATTGAAATATAGAGTGCGTTCCAAACAAACTCAAGAACTTTTGTCGTAAACTCAGCAAAATCACTTACCATACGAAGCGCTCTCCAAAATATGTCACAATGACGATGAAAATCCAAATATACCTCACTAATCCACACAGTAAAATGATCACTCTTTACCCTATGTGTTCGTGATCTAGTCTTTATCAATATCACTCATCTAGCCACGTTATATCTGGCCAATTCTTTGTATTTTCTACAAGCTGATGTTGCGTGCTATGGACACTAGCACTGTGATTGACGTCCCAAAGAGCATACGAAGAGTTTTCACCTTATTTGTCACTCAAACTCAGCGGGGTTACAAGGAACTAGACGAAATGAGAGAGAGGTTCTCTGACGTTCTTACTTTCTTGTTTACAAGAAAAAATCCACATGATATGATCCAAAACAAAATGATGCCTATATATTTCAAGAATGAATAACTTGTGGAATATTGACGAGTTGTAATGTCAAATATCCMGGCAAGAATGTATCAATAGTGTGCCAGTATGTGGAAACCATTTAATTCCCATGCCATAATTATATCTTAGGGAAAGCGTGCTTGACCTATTATCTGGTTAAATAGCAGCGTGCTTAGTTTACCTTGTGTTCAGTGTAATTCGACTAAACTGGTTAAGCCTCCAAAACACCGTTAGCGTACGCTTTCCCTATATCACCATCACAACTCAATGAAACACCTAACAAAAGCCGGCTCCAAAATGATTGTTTGCGACTGCAAGCCATTTCTTTGCAGCTGTTATCCAATAGGCCTAGTTAATTGAGTTAATTTAATGTCTTACTTCATATTTTCTTCTCTCTTTACACTCAAAATGCTTATTGGTCTCTTTTGTTCTGGTTTGCCGGCGATTTCTTATTTTGCCTTGTTCATGTGAGCGACAAGAAAGCCCAGAATTGAGTACATTGATTAGTTTATTATTTAATTTGCATAAGAAAGATAGTCGCTTTTTTGAAAAAAAGGCCATAATATCAGTTGCCCTGCCTTTTCCGGTCAGAATCTTACTTTTGCCGAAAAAATCAAATTGAAGCAACACACAACAATATCTGACAAGATGATCTTACGGTTATTTTTGAAAAGGTTTCAATGACACTCTCTGAGGACTCGGTGAATACGCGCTCTATAGCTTCAAAACGTTTTCTAAAGAGAGAAAAGTTGGACTAAACACTGATATTTAATCAAAGGTTYGCATGCAAATGAACATTAGTACATTCTTGGTAACAAAAGATACCGCCGCGTTTGTGAAATTGAGAGATATATAACAATATTGCGATAATAATATCCCWGTATCTAAATACAGTAGCCTTGGCAGGATACTTAGAACAGTGATTCAACAATCGTCTTTATTTTTAGTCAACGCTAATCAAATTAAAACTTTAATAAAATTGTTTCTATTGACACCTGATAGATCTAATTGCCGATTCTTCAGCGGCAATGAAATTGAAATTACGGCGGTAAACGCATACAACAGACACCGTAAAGAATGCCGAAATGATTTGAGTATTTTCGCAGATGGATTTTGATGCATTCAGGTTCTGGCCGAAATTTCGGAAATTGAAATCACTTGGGAGTTTGATAGGCAAACTAGATCGGATCACAACTTGTCTCGGTAACAATCGAGTGTTCAAATACTGAAGTCTTAATCCACTCGAGCGATCGTCGTGAATGTTGAAAATCAGCAGTTTCTTCACATAATGTTTAATTGAAATGTTTTCGAGGGGAAACGAGTACTTGAAAAAGTTCGTGGCCTTGTCAGATGTATAAATCGTTTAAAAACAATTCCAAAGACCTTCAAGATAGTTATCGCCAATAACTAAAATGCTACGACGTTTTCCTTCTCTCGATTTGTCGTCATTCATGGACTAATAAACTTGAGGCAGTCTCATTGGCGTTTGAGGCACCATTGTACATCTGCTGTTTAAATAAGATTTTAARTTCTGTCAAAAAATCATTGAATTCTCTAATTCAATCTAGTGAGAAAATTAGAAGGGAAATTCTGAGTCACTTGTGTGTGAACATTCTATCAGTTTGTGAAATTTTCTCGATGATCCAACTGATTAAACATCATACAAAGTTTGAACAATGAGAAATCATTAAACAAAGACTCATATCCTTTGGTTAAAAGATAAAACATCAAAATACAGCATGATTAAACTTCGTAATAAAAAAGGGAAGGCACGCTAACACTTMTATGACTCCATAATAATTGAGCTTTTATTTTCTGGTTCCCAAATGATTATTAGCTATAAGTGGCGTCAAACAGTTTGTGATTCGAGTTGTCAGACACAAGTATTACATATACTCTTGATTTATAATACTGTGTGTAATTTAATAAATTGTAAAATTCAAAGAAAACTGTAATGATGTATGTTATTAAAAAATGTGAACGGAAAGATCTAAAGATCATCTTTTTCGCCCTATTTCTTGAGCGCCCATTGCTATGAATCCTGTGTTATCAAAAATTTTTCCTTATTCACATTTTTCATTTAAATATGAATTCATTGTCTTCCATAACTTTATATTACTACGGTTTCAGAATGATCACATTCAAAGCTGTAATTTTTTGTGAGATTTTGTGCAAATAATCAATGAATGTGATTCAAGTCTGTACATTTCCTTATCGTCTAATAGTCTGCAGTGGCGAAGGACTATTCTAGATATAAAAATTTATGTTACACGTTAAAATTCTGTGGAATTATGAATGATTTCTGCCGACACATATTAAGATATGTGCCTGTACGTGCGACCCCATTACTAAGGAGGAGTAGTTCCTACCGAGTTCTTTGTGAAAGTCTACCGCAAGTCATTCRCTGTCCAAATCGATTGTCCTTAATCGTTCTGCTATCAATTGATCACCACCATTTGGTCTGAAGAATATCGATGTCACTAAAGTCTAGAGTGCTGAAAAGAATGCTAAATAAACTCAATCGCACGAGCGTCTAGAGCAAACACCTTGATCATCGTCTCCACATATCTCTTTTCATTTAAACAACATTTAGAAAATTATTTAAGAAAGTAAGCCAAGATAATCCGTTTGTTTGGCAAACAACACTTGGGATTTGGAGCATTTAAGTTTCCGTATCATGCACCTCGCGACGTCTATAATATCGAGGGTGAAGACGTGATTTTAAGCGAGTAATTACTAAAAATAAAGAGCAAGARAGGAAAAGAATGGTAGAGTACGTGGAGAAGACTTTGAGCAAAACAAAACGCGCTCTGTRTAAAAGCTACAACTACATATTTGCGATTCGAGAAAAATGCGGAAGAGAACTTTTGTTCTTATAAACAGCAAGCTATGCTATAATATTATAAAGAAACTTCAGTCCAGTGRAACAGAAACTGGGATGGTTCCACGACATGCCACGCGCCTTAYGGGACTTTATACCGAAGTTATTTTCTTTGCAGCGTTGCGCCATTWTTAGAATAAGTAGTAATTTATCAATGTTTTCCGCTCTCACGAACTGACTTTGAAATGATTCTTGGTATCCGGTGTAAAGTTACCATAAAACTAATAGTCATGGCTTGCAAATGAATCAATGGATGTTTCGGTGTGATATAAAGCAAAGGAGCGTTTCAAATTAGAAATCAAATAAATGTACTTGCGGCTTTAGTAAAGTGACCATGACATTGAAAAAGGGTTCAATTTTTTCCCCAGTGGTAAACTCATGCCAAATCATATTTAAACGCAAGTCATTTTCAACAACATGATTTYGTATCTTCATTTCAGAATGCCGAATAAAAATCATTTCAGTTAATTACATCTTGTGATTTTCGGTCATTGCGGTAAGAAATCCATTCATCACTTTCGCGCATACAGTACTAAAAACGTTTTCAAAAAGAAGAAAAAAAGATACAAAACACWAGAACGGACTAGACACAACACATCACAAGACTCAACCATCCATGGCCTTACTGTCTCTTGCAAATRGAATTAACTTTCTTAAGAAATGTCGAACATTTAGCATGTATGTGACAAAAATGGACATTGACATTTCATTGCATAACCGCACCGAGAAGAACCATCATAATTAACGCTCATTGTATGCTCGCCTTGGAACACTACCGACGGGTTTCTGTAGACTCAGCCGAAATTATTATTATTACAGGCGGTGCAGGCGTGACTAATCTTGGGGTTACATGCGCTATAATTAAATTACGACACTCCGAACCGACACTGAAGTTGATAATGAATAGTGAACGGCCATGAAAATGTGCCGAAATATCACTTATGTGCATGCTTTGTATACTAACTTAAGTAATRTTCTTTCTGTATCTTCATCATCTCTATCGTTATCTGACCACTTACTGACAAGAGCATTTACAAACCCAAGGCGGTATATCACATTAACCTTTCAAGTTTTGCTGTTGCAGCAAAGGGTGACTAATTGAAGGGAAACAAACCACCTTGTCAAGGAGAGCGCTGTGAATAATGTGCCATCGAAAACATGTTTTGTTGAGACTTGTAGGATCGTGTCRGGATGATCATGACGAGATCCTATACTGTTAGAGTAGTCTGTGTTTACGTCGTATCATTGAACTGGTTAACTGCCAGAGGTTAAGAACCTATCAAGTGTTCCATGAACACGAGGTTTTTGGCCACAAATCTAACAATTAATTGGCACCATTTGAAGTTTCAACTTTGAATTACAGTAATGATGCAATTATTCCGACTGTACAACTACAATTTACAGAGCTGTTTCGTGAAACGGCTGATTATATTTGACAAAACGATTTTACTTTCACGGAAYAAGCGTTAAACGCCAGCATTCTTATATTAGTGTTGAAATATATGCCTAATTCAACGGTTTATTAATGAGGTCCATTTGAAGTCCATTTGTTTCATTGAAGTGCTCTAATAATACACACAGTCAGTCTACCCCTTTTCTTGCAACGGATACTACAGGATTGTGATAATTTWAGCATGAAACTAACTCGCGCATTCTTTATTAATTGTGCGTTTATCAACATAACGTTCACCTTATACACAAAGAAGTCTTGTTTATAGTTTACCAAATAGTAATACTTAGGCAATGTGCAATTTTCTGGACGCTTTACRCTATGTTACAAAATACAAATGCACTAAAGTATCACTGAAAGACGGAACACTGAAAACAAACTGCTTCAGCAATGTTAAAGTTAGATATGAGTGTTGTTTGACATTGTGTAGCCATGCTACTCAAATGACAAAGTACGTCCATGCACCCTGTCCGCAAAACGTTATCATTCGACTAAACAACCCAAGGTCAGCCCTATTCACTGATTGTACTATCTTAACATATTATAAAAAATATAGGACAGGAAAAGATCGAGCTTATACGCACAGAATGCGACTTTTAGAAGATTCGAGCGCTTGGATTTGGAAGTGTAATGATGTATTTTATGCCGGCTATCAATGCCCCATGTAAACGCATGCTGTTCGAGATCAGTGATAAAACAAAGAGCTCTCAATCGTGGGATTTCACTTCTAATACGATACAATCTTATAATAATGATGACATAACAGACTACGTGAATATCAACTTGGTTTGTAGCGCGTTTCAGCTACGCCATCTGGAAGTGGCGTTACATGAACGGAGTCTTACAAGAACAACTCAAGATAGCGATGGTGTATCGCAGTAGTGATTTCGATCAGCGTTGCCTTATTGTGACCTTTTACAATATAAACGTCAACCGTCCGTACAGACACTTACCTTTGCGACGTGATAAGACTTGTGGGGATTCAAAGGTTGACTTTAAGCTCATTCGTCTCTGCCTAATTGCCTCTATTAGCCAACTTCACGGGTAAGCGTCTAATTGAAATTGTTCTTAGATTGACTTCGACGGCTCGTCAATTTGTTACAGTATTCAAGTTGATTCGTAGTTTCCTTTCCGAACGCAAACAAGACAACCGTAGCTTCAAAGATTTAATATTTGAAACTAAGGAATTCGAGATGAGCATCCGGTTGGGTAGCGATGTGAAATAGCATCCGMGGTTTTCACTGGTTGGTAGCTGGGCGTTCCTTACGACGTGTTGAGTTGCACAGTCCTCTACGTAAACGCGAAACTGATGCACAGGAATGCCTTTACATGCTGTTACTTTGTTTTGATGTCATTCATCACATGACGAGCTGACAAACCCGTATTCCCCTTTGAAAACTATTGAACACACGCTTGGTAAAGGTTCCTTGATGTGTAGTTAAATCAGTATCTTATGGTCAATTGAGCGTTTCCCTATAAGCGAGATCGCTATTGACCTGTATGGTAAGGTCATAAACCATGAAAACGGTATCGATTTACTAATTGGACTTGACTTACAGCAAATCAAGACAGACAATAGACAGTATTACTTTATGATGACATCATCGTGAACCGACCGACAAAAGTATCTGGTGTTATGAATTTCTATTCAGACGAATGTAGCCGTTTGCAACAGCGAAWGACAATCACGTACGCAGATCGGTAACGCATGTGGGGAATGACTGAGGCAGTTGTAAACTTGTCAAACTCGTTCTCTTAAGAAGAATCCAAACATTGATGGTGGTCGAACAAATATTCGTGAAAATTATCAAAGTAAACGGTTTTGATAATCATCCATACTCAAAAATCGGTTTACACTTGAGTTATTTTCAGATCCACGRCCAGGAACTCTTCACGTGCAAAGAAAACCAAACAATTGACTTTTTCGACAAAAATACTTTTTTTGGCTTCTTCAGTGCCTTGGGAGGTCATTCCACGAAACTTCAAATTCCTTAATCGGTTGACCACGAATATTTTTAGATCGCATGGCTAGATTGCTAAGAAAATATTATACTTTGTTGGGGAGCTGAATTTTTTTACGTCTATTTTTGATGCACTGCCYAGACTGACGGCCATACCGTCTTGCAGTACACTGAATTGCACACAGACTACTCAGTACATGATGTATTTCCAACTTYTTCAACCATTTCCCTTGGTACTGCGAATTATAAGCATTC